TCTTCAATTGATAAGTAATAAAATGAAATGGACAGTTTTCAGATAAAATAATTAAAGCTATTTACAGTCATATGAAAAATATTCTAAATCACTATTGATGAGAGAAATGCAGATTAAAACAACTCTGAGGTACCACCCCAAACCTATCCAAATGGCTAATATAACAGAAAAGAAAAAAATGACAAATTTTGGAGGGAGAATTGAGACACTAATGCTCCGTTGGTGAAGTTGTATACTTATTAAACCATTCTATAGAGCGATTTGGAACTATGCCCAAAGACCTATAAAACTATGTACATATATCCTTTGAGTAAGTAATGAACCACTATGTCTGTATCCCAAAGAAATAAGAAAAAGAAAAAAAGGAAAGGACCCATATGTACAAAAATATTTATAACAGCTCTTTTAGTGGTGGCAAAGAATTGGAAATTGAGGGGATGTTCATCAATTGGGAAATGGCTGAACAAGTTGTTGATGATTATGATGGAATACTATTTTGCTATAGGAAATGATGAGCAGTATGCTCTCAGAAGAACCTGGAAAGACTTACATGAACTGAAGCAAAATGAAATGAGTAGGACCAGGAAAACATTGTACATGGTTACAGCAATATTTTATGATGATCAACTATGAATGACTTAACTATTCTCAGCAATACAAACAATACAATCCAAGAGGGATTTGAAGGATTTATAATGAAAAATGCTCTCCATCTCCAGAGAAAGAACTGATAGAGTCTGAATGCAGATGGAAGCATACTTTTTCTTTATTTTTCTTGTTTTTTTGTCTGTGTTTTCTTTCACAACATGACTAATATGGAAATATGTTTTGCATGACTGCACACGTATAACCTATATCAAATTGTTTGCCTTCTCAAAAAGGGGGATGGAAAGAAGAAACCGGGAGAGGATTTGGAACTCAAAAATTTAAAAAAAAATGTTAAAATTGTTTTTACATATAATTGGGGAAAAATAAAATATTAAATTAAAAAAGAATACTCACCTAACAACCCATCCCTACCCCACCCTTAGACACTTCAGTCATGCTAACAAATCCACCAACATCAGTTCAAAGCCTAACTGTTTCCTGGTATTTAAATAAAAACTGGTAACAGTCACCCATCTCTCTGTTTTGCTCTGAGAATATCTCTTTACCGACACAAAGGGGCCCCATTTGGTTCAAGATAATGTATATGTTTATGGCTGCCAGTCATGTGCTCTGGCCAGAAAATTCAATTGACAAACAAGAGAAATGTTTTATTAGTCCAAAGTTCACATCCTTACCCTCTCAACCCACATAGAACTGCACTTAAGAGAACAGTAAAATTCACTTCCTAGAGGAGAATTCAGCCTTTGTTCCTAAAGCAGTTTCCTTCAGAAAAGCATAATGATCCTGACAGAGATCAACCCCTGCTTATTTTGGAGGAATCCCTCTTGTGCTCTTGTCAGCATTGACTGAAGCTCCTCTAGCCACAGCCTTTCCCCCTACATCCCTTCCTGCTTTTTGACATCATTCTATGAGCTCCATCTACTTACCTCCGGTAAGTCAATATTAGGTAATGTGAATAGACTGTAGAATAGGTTAAGTATCATGGAGGAGGCATAGATATATCTCTGTGGCAGGAGAAGAGCAGAATCATCTGGGTCTGTCATTTAATTGTCTTTGGGAACTTCTGGCATGAAAACAAATGCCAATCTATTTTGACAGTTGTTTCTAATATTTTTATAGAATTGCCACCAAAAGGTTGACCTGAGTTTAAATGACTTGATGTGATTATACAGCTAGTATATGTGCATTTGTTTTCAGGGCTTGCCTAGTTAGTTTATTCCATAGATCACCTTTACACACATGAATGTATGTGTACAACACATATAGGTATATCATGTATGTATATGTGTGTGTGCAACATTTTGGTGGCAACTCTATAAAAAAAAATTACAAACAAAAGCTGAAATGGATTAGCATTTGTTTCCATGCCTATACATAGGGAGACAAAGAGAGACAGAAATACCTAAAGAGATAGAGTCAAGATTTGAGCATTAGAGCACAGGCAGTGTGAGCATTACCCTCTCTGCCACACATACATACCTTCAAGGGGGAGTAGGGAACAACCTTCTCTGAAGCAAAGGGAAGGACAAAATGATATCTGAAGGGCTCTAGGTTTCAACACTGTCATTACCCAAATTTAATATAATCTCATTGGAAAACAGACAGCAGCAGCGGAATCTATTTTTCAGTCAAATTTAAAAGTTGGGAACAATTTAGATGGGCATGGATATCTTATCTTGTTACACCTAATCCTAGTTTTATTTTCACTTTTTAAAATTGCAACAATTTTGGGGCAGCTAGGTGGCGCAGTGGATAGAGCTCTGGCCTTGGAGTCAGGAGGACCTGAGTTCAAATCCAGCCTCAAACACATAACACTTACTAGTAGCTGTGTGACCCTGGGCAAGTCACTTAACCCCATTGCCTCATCAAAAATTTTTTTTAATTGCAATGATTTTAATTAATTATTTAATTCATTTTTACAAAAAAAAAAGCAATTTTCCATTTGTGTACCATACAGATCATTTTATGGTAAGTCTCAAAGAAATCAGACTATAGTACTAAAAGTTGCATTTCTCCTCTCATTCTCCTATTGGAACTGAATGTTTCTCTAAGTAATTGAGCCTCACTTATTGCATTTAGACTATTTATGGCAAGTCTAATGAGTCCCATTTGTATGTTCACTTTTAGGTCCTCTACCATTGGCTTCAGATATTCCTTTCTCTAATCCATAAATAGAAAATGAATTTATAGTGACATAAGTTAAAGATACAAGAGATTTCATGACTTTTATGCCTATTGCCTAGTATGTGTTCTCCCTCACTCTTTTCCTTCCCAAGGAAGTGGCAACTCGCTTATTCTCATTTATTATCTCATTTATTTGTTTTCAATACTGCTTACTACCAAGGGGGCAAGAAAAACTGAGTACGGGGTAGGGTTGGTACACTTTTTTCATCACTTTGTTAAGCCCAGCTAATCAACAGATTAATACAACAAACCCTGATTTTGAGCATTTGCTGATTTCTAAGGTTTAAATGTTCACATCAAAAAATGGGACACTAACTCACTGTTGGTGGAACTGTGAACTGATCCAGCCGTTTATGAGAGCAATTTGGAATCATGCCCAAAGGGTTATGAAACTGTGTATACTCTTTGACCTAGCAACACCATTATTAGGTCTGTTTTCCAAGCTGATGAGGGAAAAAAGGAAAAGAATTTATATATTCTAGAATAATTATAGTAGCTCTCTTTGAGGTGGCAAAGAATTGGAAATTGAGGGGATGTCTATCAATTAGGGAATGGTTAAACAAGTTGTAATGTATGATTGTATGGAATATTAATGTGTTATTAGAAATGATGAGCTCAATGATTTTAGAAAAAAAAACATAGACTTACATGAAATAACAAAGAGTGAAACAAGCAGAACCAACAGAACATTGTTTATATTAACAGCAATATTGTTCTAAGAACAACTTTGAATGACTAAGTCATTTTGAGTATTATGAATGCTCAAAACAACTACAAAGGACCTATGAAAAAGATGTTATACACTTCCAAAGAATTGATAAATATAAATATACATAGTATGGTTATGGGTCTATATTTGTATCTAATGGTAGCCTTCTCTAGGGAGGGGTGGGGAGGCAGGGGAAAAAAAGTGCACAGTAGAGAACAAAAGAAAACTTAGAAGGAAGCACAGAAAAGTAGGGTATCTTTGAAAACAAGGTGTAGCATTTATTACATAGTTTTTTTAAGTAAATAGTGTGAATTGGAAATCAATGATTTTGTGTTGAATCCTTTTTTTATATTGTGCTGTGTACATGAAAAAATTTGTCTTTTTGTATTTAAGTTCAGAAGGAATAAAAAATTTTAAAAAGAAAAATTAACAATCAGCTCTGGGGAGCCAGTCAACCAATCAACAAACATTTATTAAACACTCACTATGTGGCAGACACTCCACTAAATGCTGAGTTACTGTACTAAGCCAGTCAGAACTGGCTCTTTCAATACTCCCAGGGCCTGAAACCCACAGATCACCCCCAATCCTACCAACACCATCAACCAATCCTTTCTGCCATACTCTGTTTTCTCCACCACAGCCACACAACTTTTATGCAGAGCTTTTTTCCAAGAAAGGAAATGGACTGAGATTCTTCCTCCCTTCCCTATTCCTCTGCATCTCTCCCAAGAGATGGTCAATTATTGAACACATGGTAGCAGGAAGAATGGGGAGGAGGAGCAAAAGGAGGACCTCAGAATCTGGATTATTAACTTCTGATGTACAAAACAGGCATTGTCTCTGCAGACAGAGTCTACTTCTCTACATTACTGGTCCTTAAGAACTCTAATAGTCCATGGACTGTTTATGGGTCATGTTCCATCTTCCTCTTATCAACTTCATAACTTTATAAATTTCATCTAGAAAAGATCTTATGAGTTACCACAGAGAAGTGAAGTAATTTGTCTGAGACTGTACAGGTCACCTAACTTCTAGCTCAGCTGTCTTTTCACCTATCCAAGCAGAGTAGTTTTAAATTAGAGTCACAGGACAAATTTTATAACAGGGAAGCGTGGAACTGAAAGGAAATCAGGAAGAGGCTCCTTTTCACTCAATTTGTTTGTCATGGCTTCAGGAATCATAATTTCTATTTTGCCCTTCCTTTCCTATTGGGCATAAGAATTTGCTCTACTCAGTCCTGTAAGGGAGAAAACTCTGCTTTACTTGTTGCTCTTAGGGATCTGAGGTGGTCAGAATCCGGAAATATGTTTTGTTTTTCCCTATGTAAATTCCCAAGGGTACCATATCTCTGCAGTTATTGGACTCGAATTATTCTAACCATGAATCAGGGAATTACTCTCATACTTCTGACTTGACTCTAATGCTTCCCACTATGTACTTTACTAAGTCATCCATTTGTACTTTGTTGCAGGTTCTGATAAACAAAGCCACAGATATGTTGAATGTCCCAGCTTTCCAATGCCCCAGTCAAACCTTCCATCTTTTTGAGTATCACCTCCTCTTCATCTCTGTTCTTAGTCTCATAGGACAGGGATCAGGTAAGTCTCCCTGTCTTTTTCTTCCATTCTCACCCTTCTTTTTACCTTCATGTCTTTTCTGCTCAATTGAACCGGCAAACACTAAGCAATGATTATGTGCTAGACATAATACTTCAGCTGTTTAGATGCCACACTTGTTCATTGAAGTCCACTAAAAGCCAATTAAATCAGATTTCTATTTTTACATGTTACCTCTTAATCCTAGCCAGTTAAATTTAAGTTGCTGCTGTTGTAATATGACCAATTCTACTCATTCTCACTATTGGAGAAACAAGGCAAAATAAACATGTCTGTTCTTGTTGCATTATTTGAGAGGAACTAAAATGTATCTTCTTCACCAATTATGTCTCCCAAGCCTCTCATAGTATTTGAAATTTATCATTTTGGTCACTTCCTTGAATGAAATCAGTGAAAGAGTCCATTAAAATATGCTCCTTCCTTTTTTCTTACTTTCCTTTATTCAATCCTTCCTTTCTTACAAATATTTATTCATTACCTGTGCAATAAACTATATTCAGTGCTGGAGAAAAACAATAACAATTTAGATCCTTTTCCTTACCATTACTGATAAATGTAAGAAAAATTAGAATGTGTGCATATTTCAAGGATCTTTGATTTCATTGGTTTGGGCTCACCTTCTCACTATCGAAGAGGACTTCCTGCTTTACATCCACACGTGCAGACTAGGTTTAATACTGGGGCATTGGGTGTGTGTAAAACTCCTTTTGGTCCTGAGCCATGTAGGGCAATTTAGAGCTGAACCTATCCAAATTTACCTAGGCTGGCTCTTGGAGAGCTCACAAACCCATAGTTTCCAGACTCCTCTTTTTCACTTTTTTTTTGTGACATCTGGAAAATATATGCTCATTTTCCATTTTTCCATGTTGTTTCAGATTTCATAGACCATATTGTCACAATCATATTCTCCAGTTTTTTCAAAACTCTGGGAGATAATTAATATGGACTCAATGACTTTAATCATTGTGCTTAGGTGAATTTTTGAACTTAGGTGAAATAAGAATATTGAACTTGATTAGACAAAGTAAATTCTACTCCTTACTTATCTTATTGTCCTACTCCCTATTGATATTTTAGTCCATCCTTCTTGGTGTAAAGATTGGGAAGAACAAGAAAAAAGGATATAAGTAACTTTGCCTTCTATCCTTCATATACATTAACATTCTCATCAGTCTGAGCATCAGTCTTGTCATATCTAATGAAGAGTGGTACAAGCATCAGGATAGTAAATAGAATCCTTCAGGGCCCAAGATCCTTCTGTACTTTAATTACCTGTGATTTTATCAATATGAACATTTTCTCCATTGGTCTAGATCACAACTCTTTCATGACTTCTGATCAACCTATATTTTCAAAATATTTGAAGGGCTACTATAAGAAAGAGGAAAGTAGAATTAATCTAAAAAGCTATGAAAGGCAAAAATAGGACCAATGGACACAAGCTACAGGGAGTGTGATTTCAATTCAACATAATCACTTTTTAATTAGAGCAATCCCAGAAGGGGATGAGTTGCTTTTTGCATAAGCAGGGCCTCAATCACTGGTAATGAACAAATAGGATCTAAATGATCACCTCTAAGGAATATTGCACAGGGAATTCTGGCATATGATGAAAAGTTGTACTAGACAACATCTAAAATCCCTTCCAATACTACTATTTTGTTATTTTATGTTGTAAGCATACAATTCTAACCTCGTGACGTTTCTCTGGTGTCAGTGAAAAATGGAGAAGTTTCTGTCCTGGGCAAAGTAGCTGAAGATCAAGAAGTGGCAATATGGAACCTTCCATTCTGTACCTAATTCAAGCCCTATGCCTTATATTGACAAACATCCATGGTTAATTGACCTTCTCTGGTTATCCCTACAGGTCAATTTCAGGTAATTGGCCCAGATGAGCCTATTCAGGCATTGGTGGGAGAAGATGTCATTTTCTCCTGTCATGTCTTACCCAAGATGAGTTTGGAGAACATGGAGGTGAGGTTCTTCAGGAACCAATTCTCTTCTGTGCTTCTTCTATACAAGGATGGGAAAGAAGAAAATGAGAGGCAAATGCAGGAGTATCAAGCAAGAACCCAGTTTGTGCAAGATGCCATCACTGAAGGGACAGTCTCCTTAAAACTAAAGAACATAACCCCTTCAGACATGGCAACATATGGATGCTGGTTTAGCTCTAAAACTTTCTATCAACACTACACTTGGGAGCTACAGGTAGCAGGTAAGCTACTTTTTCAATGATGCAATAACCTTACCTTCTATATCTAAGCTCAGTTAGCTAGAACATACAACTGATGGGGCCACGCTGCTAGTTTTCATATTCTTTGATAAAGAGATGGAAACAAATCCACAAACTAGCCCAGTGCTAGATAAGCTCTGTTTCTGAATATCCTTGAGATATGGTTTTGGTTTAACTTTATTTCCTGTTCTCTGCAGCTATGGGTTCAACCCCTCTTATCTCTCTTGAGGGATACAGAGATGGAGGCATCTTGTTGGTATGTCAATCAGCTGGGTGGTTGCCTCAGCCAAAGGTACAATGGAGACAGGATTCAGGACAATGTTTGTCATCAAACTACACTGTAGTCCAAGATGATCATGGCCTCTTTTTCATAGAAACCACCTTTACTATGAAAGAACATTCAAATAAAAACATCGTGTGTTCAGTCCTGAATTTTGCCCTCAAACGAGAGAAGGAATCCAGAGTACAGGTATCAGGTGAGTAGAGTGGACAGGAAGAAAATAAAAGGGAAAAGTGCTTGAATGGCTTGGAAGAAGTTATAGATTTATGTCCTCTTGAAAAAATAGAGGCTGAGGGGGAATATATTCAAAATATATAGTCAGAAATGATTTGGAGAAGGTGAGTACCAACATTTTTGCTTGTCAAATATATGGCAAGTTTAACTAGGCAGTGAAGCAACTGTTGAGCAGCAATTCATTTTATGAGTAATGAAAGGAATTAATACTTTAATTAGCATACAGTTTGTTGCTGGGATAAGAATGAGGGAATTTTAGGAGGAAATGACAACTACATCCCAGAATTTATGAGGGGGGAGAGAGAAGATAACAAACAAGGTGGTAGTAACTAAATGCATTTGCAATTGTGAAAGAAGTCCTTTTAGGCAAAATTGAAAAGTCTTTTATTCAAAGATATCAAGTCTTTACTGTGTCCTTGCATAGTTTGTTACACTTTATTTCTCCTTCAGTAGGGGTTGAGGGCTTTCTGTCATTAGTTCACCATGTGGCTCAGGGATTGATTAGTCCATCAATGTGTTGCAAAGGAATCATAATTTTTATTTTTTCCCATAGTTTCCCTCTTTGATACTTCTTCAGAAATATCGCTAAATCTGAACTTCCCAATGTTCATTAAGTTTTTAAGTTTGTTTGCTTCCTCTTATCTTCTGACAGTTGTCTTATTCAGTATTTAAGAAAATCGGAGATGGTTATTACCCTTATTACATTAAATTATACTACCTTCTTATTATATTACATTAGACCTTATTAATATTCTATCAAGGCAGTTGATTGCACAGTAAAATAGGAACAGTACAATGAGGCTTACGACAGAGTTGAAACAAAATACGTGGTTAACAAATCATACAAAATACAAAACATTGTCTTAAAAACAAAGTGGTAGATGTAAATTCATCATACTGAAATAAATTAAAGAGAGAATAAAAACACAAGTTTAAACATCTTAGCAAGAATGAAAGATCATAAAAAAATCTTTATCCTTTTGAAACTATTATTTTCATCAGTAGTAAATGTTTGGTAAAAATATTCATACTTACAGATGGGCATCAGTATCTTAAGAGTAGAATTTTCTGTGGGCCATTATTACCAATAATTTTACAAGGAACTAGGATAAAAAGGACTTAGCTTTATGCTTATGTTTTATTCTTAATTCTGGCCCCTACATCCCTTTCCAAAAGGGCCATATCATTGTAACAAACAATAGACAATAAACATAATTGAATAATCAGGCATATTAACGTCCATTTAGGCAGCAAGTATCTTGTTCCATTGTCTTGGGCTTATGCCCACCTCATGAAGTTGTCTGCTTCTAGGAAATACATTTCCTTTCAATCTGAATCAAAGGTGTCTCTCCTAGACCACTAACAACAAATTATCAGCTTTGTTTACTCTGCTTACCTTTGGATATGCCTTTCTACCCTAGTGGTGTTTTTTTTTTTTTTCTAACAAATTTACTTACCAAGTCATGCACTGCCCCAGCAGTGGTTTGTTAGGTATCACTGCTCAAAACTTCTAGTGACAAGACAGCATAATTTAGTAAGACCTGGCAAAGCCTAATCATATTGGCCTTCCAATAATTATTTCATGGGGTGAAAGTGTTATTGTGTTAAACATAGACACAAGGAAGAACATTAGCTTAGAGTGCCTGTAACTCATCTGAAAGTTTTGAGAGTTCCAATGTTTGTAGACCATTTTTTCTTTCTACTGTGCTTGAACCCTGTAGAGGACATGGACAATGCAGTTTGTGGGTTATAAAATATTTAAAGAAAAAGAAACAATTACACAAACAAATAAAACCTTCATGATGTGACATGTAAAATAGGTCCTTCTCTCACTTAGTATTTTTGAAGAGTCCTCTAATAGAAAAGAACAAACCAACAAATTAACCATGATTTAAAAGATTCTACACAAAGCAATTCAGAATGTGAAAACCTCAATCTAACTTCAGAATTTATAGGAAATTAATAAAACATATGCAAAGCCCATGTATTTGGGCATTTGTATGAAATTCATCTGTAGATATTAAAACGGACATTCTGGGAGAAATTCAATATCTTGCTTCACTTTTTTCAGTTTCATTCTTTATTGACTCCAGGATCGAATTTCAAACACATCATTTAATATCATCATCTTTACTTTGTCATCTGTCACTGTTTTAGCTGGCACAATAGCACACTTTCTAAGACTACTGACATGGTTGCAACTATCAATAGCCATTTAAATATATTCTTTGCCCATTGGAAAACTTTAGGATGCCAACCACATGTATTCCAGTTTTCAAAAGTAAATAAATGGACTGATGTTTTGACCTTTCTCAAAATAAGGTTTACTACTCAATTAAGAACAAATAAGAACTAAAGCAATTTACATTTTTATAATTTCTCCCCTTTGAGGATATATGTCATCCTAACATCATGGAAGGAAGGAGAGTTATTTAGACAGAAATAATGTGAAATTGTAAGGACATAATCATATATAAACACACAACTATTAAACCAATAAATAAAAGATATGGAAAGTCTAAAAACTCATTTGTCCAGTTACCTAGATTACGAAATTGAAGAAAGAAGTAGGGAATGAAGGAAGCAAGGAAGGAAAGAAGCAAAGAAGGGAGGAAGCAAGGAAGGAAGAGAAGAAAGGAAGAAAAAAGAAAGGAAAGAAGGGAAAGAAGGAAGGAAAAGAAAAAGGAGGGAGAGAAGAAGAGAAAGAAGGAAGGAGGGAGAGATGGGAAAGAAGGAAGGAAGGAAAGAAGGAAATATTTATTACGCACCTACTCTGTGCTAAGTACTTTACAAATATTAATTCATTTGACCATGATTCTGGGAGCTAAGTACTGTTGTCATCCCTTCATTTTCTAGTTGAGAAAACTGAGAAAGATAGAGGTTAAGTGACTTGCCCAACATCACACACACAGTTGGTAAGTGGTTGAGAACAGATTTGAACTCAGGTCTTCTTGACTTTAGGCCAAATTAACACCTAGCTGCCTGGTTGAGAAGGGTAAAAATACAAATAGCAAGGTCTTTTAACCCTGTAGCCTTATTATAGTAGGTTTAGTGTTGCCAGGATTTTTAAAAGAAAGATCAACTATAAAACATTTGCTGTTCTGCCATAATGATCAGAGAAATTTATTATGAAGGGAAGAGGATGAAGTCAGGCAAAAGTGTATTATGCTATATTCCATTAAAAACAGTACGATGGATGTAATTCAAACATATATGCTCTGACATTTTGATGGATCTTTGAACTCATTGGTGTTGCTTCTCTCTCCAACAGTCCAGATCACATACCATCAAGACCATCTCATCTTTTGAGAATCTTGTTTATGCCCTTGTGTGATTCTTAAACAAGGAGTTTACTTAAGATTATGGGGGCTTTTCACTAGATCTCAAGCACTAGAAATTCTTCACTCTTATCATATTGTAATTCTCTTCCACAAGTTTTGTATGGACTAGAGATGTTGACACATGTATGTAATCCCTGAGTCTGGGGAGGCTGAAACTAGTAGATCACTTGAGTTCAGAAATTCTGAATTATAGTCAGGTTAAAGTCAATAACGTGTCTGCTTTGAATCTGGCACTTATATGGTAAGCCCCACAGGTAGGACCACAAGGAAGAACAGACTACCTAAAAAGAGAGTAAATCAGCCTAAGTTGAAAAAACAGAGCATGTTAAAGACTTCAGGTTGAGAATTATTGGTTTGGGGCATAGAAGAAGCCTTTGCAATTTCATCAGAGACTGTCTCAAAAAAATAGATATAGATATAGATATAAATATAGATATAGATATGCACCTGTATCTCTCTATCATGTGATAGACCCCTCCATCCCTTACTATGCCTCTCTATCACTCTTTGGATGGCCCTCAATTTTCTTTCTTCATAGAACATTGTATTACAAATATTTGAATAATATTTTATTTTTCCCAATTACATGTAAAAACAATTTTGACATTTTTTTAGTTGAGAATTTCAAGTTTTTTCCCTCCCTCTTCCCCCCCCCAAGACAGCAAGCAATTTGCTTTAGTTTATATGTATGCAATCATGCAAAACATATTTCCATATTAGTCATGTTGTGAAAGAAGACCAAAGAAAAAAACTATGAAAAAATTTTTTAGTGAAAAATAGTATGTTTCAATCTACATTCAGATCCCATAATTTCTTTCTCTGGAGGTGGATACCATTTTTCATCATGAGTCCTTTGGAACTGTCTTGGGTCATTGTTTTGCTGAGAATAGTTAAGCATTCACAGTTGCTCATTGTATAAGATTGCTATTACTCCGTACAATGTTCTCCTGGTTCTGCTCACTTCACTCTGCATCAGTCTGTGTAAATCTTTCCAGGTTTTCTGAAATCAGTCGGCTTGTCATTTCTTATAGCACAAGAATATTTCTTTACAATTATATACCAATATTTGTTCAGCTATTTCCCAAATGATGAACATTCCCTCAGTTTCCAGTTCTTTGCTACCACATAAAGAGTTGCTATAAATATTTTTGTGCAAATAGGTCCTTCCTCCCCTCTCCCCCACCCCAGACCTAGTAGTGGTATTTCTGAATCAAAGGATATGCACAGTTTTATAATGCTTTGGGCATAGTTCCAAATAGCTCTCAAGAATGGTTGGATTAAGGGCAGCTAGGTGGCTCAGTGGATAGAGCACTGACCCTGGATTCAGGAGGACCTGAGTCCAAATTTGGCCTCAGACACATAACACTTACTAGCTATGTGACCCTGGGCAAGTCACTTAACCCCTATTGCTCAATACACACACACACACACTCACACACACACACACACACTCACACACACACACATACACACACACACACAGAAAAAGAATGGTTGGATTGGTTCACAACTGTACCAACAATGCATTAGTGTCTCGATTTTTCCCACATCCTTCAAACATTTGTCATTTTCCTTTTCTCTTACATTAGCCAATCTGATAGGTATGACATGGTATCTCAGA